GGGCCTGAGAAGAGATGAAAAATAGCCAAGGATTTAAGTAAAGCTTTGGCTGGCCTCCAGTTTCTAACAATGCTATGATGTGTTCCTCTAGCTTCTCCCTCCCTGAGCCTCCTGTCATCACACAGCACTGAGGCAGAGGTCCAACAGCCAGCATCAGCTACAAACAGGCAGCAAGGAGCCAGAGCACTGGAATTCAACTACAAAGTTCAGGGGACAAGCTCAAGGCAGGATTGATTCAGTTCCTCCAACTGTTAGAGACAAGGTATGAAAGAATCAGCTGCCAGCATAGTTAGCAGAAAGAACAAGTAATTTTGATCAGAAGACTCATGACTGACTGATCCTTAGCTCCATCCCTCACTAGCTGTATCATTTTGGCAAAGTCACTTCACTCCTCTAATTCTCATTTTTCCCTAGCTGTTAAAATTGAGAGGATAAAACACCTTTACCTACTTCAAGGTTATTATAAGGATTAAGACAGGTAAGAATGTGCTTCATAAGCTATAAACACTATTGAAATATTAGTTACTCAAGGTAACAAGTACTTATTGGATACTTCTCATGTGCTATGTGCAGCACTTAACAGAGAAAGTAGCATACTACAATCCCAGTCCTCAATGAGTACTGTAACAGAGAACACCGGTGAGTGAACACACAGGCATCTCTTCAAGGCAGTCTGATATAGAGATGGAGTTGCAAGTGATTTAATCTGAGGAACAGAGGTCAGAATCTCAGGAAGGTGACACTGGAGCTGGGCCTAGAAGGTGAAGTGGGTGATGACCAGGCAGAGGAGGCTGGGACGTGCATTCTAGGGAGAGAAATAAATAAGCAAGGAGGTGTGAAAGTACACAGTGTTTAGGGAGCAGTGAGTTGTTTCATGTGGCTACAGCGCGATACAAAAAACAGAGTGCTTAGAAATGAAGCTGGACAGGTAGGTTGGAAATGCTGCAAAGTGCTCTATGTCATGACAGAATTAGGTGACATCAAACTCTAGAGGCAACTAGTAGCCATAGAAGAAATTTACAAAAAGAAATCACGGTTGGACGCGGTGGCTCACGCCTGTAATCTCATGACTTTGGAAGGCTGAGGCAGGCAGATCACAAGGCCAGGAGAGCAGCCTGGCCAATACGGTGAAACCCTGTCTCTACTAAAAATACAAAAATACAAAAATTAGCTAGGTTTTGGTGGCACACGCCTGTAGTTCCAGCTACTCGGGAGGCTGAGGCAGGAGAGTTGCTTGAACCCAGGAGGCGGAGGTTGCAGTGAGCTGAGATCGCGCCACTGCACTCCAGTCGGACGACAGAGCAAGACTCCATCTCAAAAAAAAAAAAAAAAGGAAATTATAATTTCTTTTTCTCCTTACTTCTCTCTCTTTCTTCTTTGTCCTAACACTATAAATAGTAAGACACAATATTTGCCCTCAAGTGCTGATATAGCTGAAAGATACACCATGTATATAAACACTCTGGATGCTTTAACAAAAGCACATAAGGAGTACAGTCGGGGCACAAAGAAAGGGTAGTCAGTTCCACATCAGAGAGTCAGGAAAATACTTATTGAAGAGGTGTTAAGTTGGTGTTATCCAGGCAGAAAAAACTTGGGGAAGGTATTCCAAGCACAGGGAATAGAATGAACAGAGATACAGAGTCATAAAATAGCATGGCACACAGTTCAGCAAGAGCTCAAGGTATGAGGGAAACTTGGTGCTATCAGCCTGGAAAGGTAGGCAGCAACCAGAGCCAGTTCTGCATGGGTTAAGAGCACGGTTTCTAGACTTTAGGTTGCCTGAATTTTAAAATTTCAGTTCTGCCTTTTTCTAGCAGCATGACCTTGAACTAATTACTTACCCTCTCTAAGTAATTTATAAAATGGGGATATTAACAGAACCCACAGCATAAGATCACTGAAGGATTAAATGAAATAATCCATGTAAAGGACTTAGTATATAGAATGTCCAATTTACACTAGGCATGGTGGCTCATGACTGTAATTCCAAGACACTGGGAGGCCAAGGCAGGAGGATTGCTTGAGGTCAGAAGTACAAGACAAGCCTAGACAACATACCAAGACCCCATCTCTACAAACACACACACACAAATTAGCCAGGCACAGTGGCACGCGCCTATAAACCTAGCTATTTGGGAGGCTGTGGTGGGAGGATCACTTGAGCCCAGGAGTTGGAGGCTGTAGTGAGCTATGATTGTACCACTACACCCTAGCCTGGTAACAGAGCAAACCCTGTCACACACAGATATAGAGAATATGTTTGATTTACAGGAAGTCTTCAAGATACTATTACTACCATTGTTATAATAGAAAACTTTATTAGGAAACTATTATAATGGTCAAGGCAACAGACACAGAGGTCCTGAACAAAAGCAGCGATATGGAGAAGAGAAGACAGATGCATGCAATCTTTCTGAGCTGCAAGTGATTGACTGGACTTGGTAACAAGGGAGAGATTATGGGCAGTACTGAATCAAATAGGTTCCTAACTTGGACAACTAGCTACATGAGTGAAAATATTTAACAATTTAGGGTGTGTTCAATAAAAGCTATGGCTAGGTAACATACAGATGAACGTGTAAAATATACCATGACACACGTCTTTGGCTCAGGCAAGAATCCAAGAAAAGGCTCTATCACTGCCTCCTTATTCAGATTTTGTAGTGTGAAAATCATGCTCACCTGCAGTACCCATTAAACAAGTGGTCCTAAGAAGCCATGTTTGATTTATGTAACCACCTCCTTACCCACGGTTTACTGAACTACAGATGGACAATTGGCCCATGGAGGAAAAGAAGACCTCAGCCCACCAGACTTTCTGTGTTTGTGCATTCAGAATTATGTGGCCTCAGGGGTTTACATCACTGTTTGAGGCACAGCCGCCATGGCTCACTCATAGCAGTAAGAGAAAAGCAGAGAAATGAATATAGGAGGTACACAGAAGTAAAATGAAAGAACACAAGGCCCCATAAACAAGAAAGACCTGGGTTGGTCAGGCACGGTGGCTCACGCCTATGATCCCAGCACTTTGGGAGGCTGAGGTGGGCGGATCACCTGAGGTTGGGAGTTCGAGACCAGTCTGACCAACGTGGAGAAACCCCATCCCTACTAAAAATACAAAATTAGCCGGGTGTGGTGGCTCATGCCTGTAATCCCAGCTACTCAGGAGGCTGAGGCAGGAGAAATGCTTGAACCCGGGAGGTGGAGGTTGTGGTGAGCCGAGATTGTGCCATTGCACTCCAGCCTGGGCAACAAGAGTGAAATTCCATCTTAAAAAACAAACAAACAAACAAACACAAGAACGACCTAGGCAGCACAGTGAGAACCCATCTCTACAAAAAATTTTAAAAATTAGCCAGGTGTGGTAGTGCATGCCTATAGTTCCAGCTACTCAGGAGGATGAGGTGGGAGAATCACTCGAGCCCAGGAGGACTACAGTGAGCTCTGATCTTGCCACTGTACTCCAGCCTGGGCAACAGGGTAAGACTCTGTCTCAAAAAAAAAAAAAGAGCGAGAGTAGTTTTCGGATAACTGTTTAGGTTTCATAAAGCCCAGCTGCATCTAGACACCAGATTCTGTGAGATCATCCCATATCCATTTCTACTTGTGTTTCTTTCCATTCCATGCAACAAAACAATCCCAGTGGCTACAATGGATGAGACTGCCCAAAAAGAATACAGAGACAAAACCAAAAAATGGCCAAGGTTAGGATCCTGGGGAACACCAACATGGAAGAGTCAGACAGAGGAAGAAAAGTCAATGAAACAGGTAGAAAAAAAGGCATTCGTAGAGGCAAGAGGTAATTCAGGAAAAAGCAATGTTCTAGAAGTCAATGTAAGAGAGGATTTTAAGGAGTAGACAACAGTATCAAATGCTACAGAGAAATCAAATAAGAGGAAGAAAAAACTAGGCTACTGGATAGGGCAATTAAGGGATCACTGGTGACCTTTCCCAGAGAAGCACTAATTATTATTATAATTCAAAAACTTGCGTTTTCAGATCCTAACTGCCACAGTAGTCATACTGTTTTATCTTTAGGTGAGTCTTAACATGCCTCTGTTTTGGTTTCTCTTCTATTTAAAATAATAATAATATATTATTATGATATTTATTTATATATCTAATATATAATAATAATAATTATTATTATTATCTTTAGGTGAGTCTTAACATGCCTCTGTTTTGGTTTCTCCTCTATTTAAAATAATAATAATAATGATAATAATAATCTTCACCCAGCCCTAACCATTCTAGAAATACTCTGTATTTTAGACTATCTGGTGGTAAAATTCATGTAAAAATTCATCAAGTTAAACATTTAAGCTTCATGCACTTTAAGAGAAAGAGACAAAATCCCCCTCTATCATCCTTCCATAGTATTCAGATTAAAAAATAAAAATACACTGGGCGAAGTGGCTCACGCCTGTAATCCTAACACTTTAGGAGGCCAAGGTAGGAGGAGCACTTTAGCCCAGGAGTTTGATACCAGACTGGGCAACATAGTGAGACCCCGTCTCTATTTAAAAAATAAATTAATAAATGAAATAAAAAAGAAACAGGCTTATAAAGTAATGTATAAAGCTAGGAGTAAACTGTTCTTTGAATTTTTTAAATCATCCCATGGTATCCTCAACCTCTGCCTCCTGATGTAATGGTAGGTAATACTGTCTTCACCAAGAAGCAGATTAATACAAGTTTCCATGCTATTATGACTATGTGAGTTTTCAAAAAGCTGGGCATGGTGGCTCATGCCTGTAATCCCAGAACTTTGGAGGCTGAGACAGTAGGATTGCTTGAGCCCAGGAGTTTGAGAACAGCCTGAGCAACATGACAAGACCCCTTCTCCATTAAAAAAGGAAAGAGAAAAGAAAAGTCACTTGTATCTTCATAGACTCGAGCACACAGCAAGCAATCTAAACCATCTGAAAGACGGAATGACAGATCCAGATGAGAGCAGTGAGAGGTGCTGGGGCAGCATATATATGAAGGGGTCTTACCTTCATTAAGTGCTTGTTGACCCACTTGGTGAACGTTTTCTTCTGAACCCGGTCCCGTTCATCTGTAAAGAAAACACAGAGAAGGCACTGGCTTAGTGCTACCCAGGTAACAGGTTCCCACACTGCAGCCCTGCCCACACCTATGTTTCTCTAGAACAACTTACCCACATAACTGTGGGACAGTGACTTCTTCTTAGGAAGGTTTGGCCTAGCTCAACTTCCTCTTTGGTCCTGATCACGCTGTCACTTTACAAATTAGACAGAATCATCATGTGCCTCAAAAATCATACCATGGCAAAGTCTCCTTAGCATGATAATTTGAGCAGAGCAGGGTACAGAGTGATTCCCCACTTCTCTCACAACAAGCTTCAAAAAGCCAAAGCCATGATACCACCAACAGATGGGGTGGCCTTGACATTTGGGACACACATATTGCAGTGGTTAAATTTCACTCTTCATGTGTTGATCTGCCTGAGTAATGCGCAACTCCCTCCCTCTCCTACCCCAGTAATTTCTTCATTCCAATTTCTTTACCAGCCATTATCAAAACACTCAAACTCTCAAAGCTGCCCAGTTTACCCCCATGGAACATCTCTTCCCTCTCTCCCTTTTCCTGTCATAGCAGCAAACTCCTTTTCTTTCTCCATTTTTTTTACCTCTTTAACAGAAACATGACTATCAATGCTTGACAATGACTGCTCCACAGAGGCCTTATCCTGTAAAGGACTTACTTTCTCCGACTCTTGCCAATTCCCCAGAGCCATTTCTAGACCACTGAGCCATCAGTCCTGGTCCTTTTCTATTTTTGAAAGCCCACACCATCCCCTATATCATCTTGTTCAAATCATCCTCACTGTCATGGACCATGCCCCGCAGCCTATCCCCTTCCACGTGGCAAATCTACCTTAGCCTTCCCTGATGACTTGGTTCATTTATCATCTCTACATATACGTGAAGACATATGTGACAATGCATCTGTGCCTACTTGGCTCCACGGGCACTCATCTCCAATTCATGTCCAGCCACCACACTGCCACATTTTGGGCCTTATTCCTTCCCCAAATGTACCTATTTAGCACTTAACATTATCAGTCTCTCATACCCTCTCCTAATCATTCTAAACCTTCAATCACTCCATTCTTATTTTACCCTATTCATTAAGGACATCTACAGCTGGGCATGGTGGTTCACGCCTTGTAATCCCAGCAGTTTGGGAGGCTGAGGCCAGTGGATCACTAGAGCTCAGGAGTTGGAGACCAGCCTGGCCAACATGGTAAAACCCTACCTCTGCTAAAAATATAAAAATTGGCCAGCTGGTGGTGTGCACCTGTAGTCCCAGCTACTCAGGAGGCTGAGGTGAGAGGGTGGGAGGATCGCTCGAACCTGGGAGGCGGAGGTTGCAGTGAGCCGTGACCACACCACTGCACTCCAGCCTGGGTGACAGAGTAAGACACAGTCTCATAAAAAAAAAAAGGAACATCTAAAATAATCCCAGTCCATGCTAGACCACATGGTTATGCAATTCAAAGCTTCCCTCACTAATACCCCAGAGACTCTCCCTGCCTAACCACCTACTACTACATTCACCATGACAATCTGCAAACCTAAATTACCACCATTGTCCGCTGCTTGACTCTTCCATATCTTTTCCAAGACAGAGAACATTTCAGAAGAAAGTTGCAGAGGTGGCCGGGCGCGGTGGCTCAAGCCTGTAATCCCAGCACTTTGGGAGGCCGAGATGGGCGGATCACGAGGTCAGGTGATCGAGATCATCCTGGCTAACACGGTCAAACCCCGTCTCTACTAAAAAATACAAAAAAAACTAGCTGGGCGAGGTGGCGGGCGCCTGTAGTCCCAGCTACTTGGGAGGCTGAGGCAGGAGAATGGCGTGAACCCGGGAGGTGGAGCTTGCAGTGAGCCGAGAT